CGGCCACAAAATCATACTCATGTCAGGCTCATGTTAAGAGTAAGCAAGCTGGGAAGGAAATGAGGTTTCCAAGAAATACAGATGCTTAACCAAACTATACGCTTACTCTGAGAGGATGAAGAAAATTTCAAAGATCTATCTTTTATCTGCTGCAAGGAGGGAGAGCTACCATGTTTCCCCGAAAATAAGACAGTCTTATATTTATTTTTTCTCAAGAAGAAACAGTAGGGCTTATTTTCAGGGGATATCTTATTTTTATTAAGTATAACACAATAATCTACATTTATTCAAATACAGTTAAGTCATCTTCTTCTGGAACCTGACAGGGGGGGCCGACCTTGTTGGTGGGGCTGACGCTAGTGATGTGTAAACTCCTTTCCCCTAGCCGGTCGCACGTGCACAAGAGGATGCCTGCGACTGCGGTTACCACACATGCACCTGTGCAAGTGTGAAGGGCTCAGAGAAAGGAGCTGTGGCAGATAAAAGGTATTCCAGTCTTATAGCGTGGCTATGCAGAGTATCTGCATCCATCACTAGGTCTTACTATCGGGGTAGGGCTTATAGTTAACAAATGCATAGAAATCCTGCTAGGGCTTATTTTTTGGGTAGGTCTTATTTTCAGAGAAACACGGTATGCAACTAATCCCTCATATTATTGTCATTTTTGTCTCTGAGAAGAGTACACTCTGACCATATATATCCTTTTCCTCCCAACAATGATTTAAGAAAAACTTTAAATGTTTCATATGTAACATGCAGCCTGGTTTCTTCCACATCAGGAATATTTTTTTTCATAAGGTTTCTATATATTCTTTAAATTTTTTTTTTAAGGCTTGGCATCCGTAGCACAGTGGTTACAGCTCCAGACACATACACTGAGGCTAGCGGGTTTGAACCCGGCCCAGAAAAGCTAAACAAAAAATAGCCAGGTGTTGTGGTGGGTGCCTGTAGTCCCATCTACTTGGGAGGCTGAGGCAAGAGAATTGTTTAAGGCCAAGAGCTGGAGGTTGCTGTGAGCTGTGACGCCATGGAACTTTACCAAGGATGACAGAGTGAGACTCTGTCTCAAAAAAAAAAAATTTTTTTTTTAAATTTATTTTTATTTCATTTCATTTATTTATTTAGACAAAGTCTTACTCTATCACCCTGGGTAGAGTATTGTGGCATCACAGCCCACAGAAACCTCAAACTCTTGGGTCTGAGTGATCCCTTTGCTTCAGCATCCAGAGTAGCTAGGACTACAGGCATGCGCCATGATGCCTGGCTAGTTTTTCTATTTCTATATTGAGACAGAGCCTCACGATATTACTCTGGGAAGAGAGCTGTGACGTCACAGTTCATAGCAACCTCAAACTCTTGGGCTTAAGCAATTCTCTTGCCTCAGTCTCCCAAGTAGCTGGGGCTACAGGCACCCGCCACAATGCTTGAATATTTTTTTTGTTGTAGTTGTAACTGTTTGTCAGGCCTGGGTTGGGTTCGAACCCACCAGCCCTGGTGTATGTAGCCGGCGCCCTAGCTGCTGAGCCAGTTTTTCTGGGTCTTGCTCTTGCTCAGGCTGATCTTGAACTTGTGAGCTCAGGCAATACATCTGCTTTGACCTCCCAGAGTGCTGGAATTACAGGCATGAGCCACCTTGCCTGGCCTTCTCTATACTCTTTAAATGGTTAACATAATTAAACTAATGTTTTTTGGATCAGGTAAGAGTAAGAAAAGACTTTATTTCACTAGTAAAACATTATAGTGACTTTTTTTTCTTTACCAGTAAAGGGAATAATGTATAATAATTATAAGGGAATAATGTACCAGTATGGGAATAATATTAGCCACCTCAAATGGTTGTGAGAACTAATTTAAATAATGTTTTTACATGATTAGCACATACCTGACATTTGACTGTTCAATGACGAACATTCTCGACACAGGAAGACAACTTATATCAATGAATTATTTGACAGAATAATATCAGAAGAGTTGACATTCAATGCTAACTACTAAAATCTCTATCTCAGTACCTGACATGCCTTCAATAAATATGGTTTGTATCAATACATTCCTCTGGAGGTGAGTTAAAGAACCATGTTAAGTTAGCAGTGACAAGGCATGTGAACGTCCACTTTGATCTCCTAACACAATCCTCACAAACTCTAGGCCTATCTCATTTCCAATAGAATTTTTATATAAAAACCATTTAGGCAAACTGAGATTAAAAATGCAAATCTAAAATGTACTTTATGATGTAAGATAATGGGACAGTTTATTTCTAATTCATTTTTCTTATGAAACTTTTTTCTTTTAAGAGACAAAGTCCTGCTCTGCTGCCCTGGCTAGAATGTAGTAGCCCAATCACAGCTCACTGTAACCTTGAACTCCTGGGCTCAAGAAATCTTCTCTCTCTAGCCTTGTAAGTAGCTAGCGCTATAGGTGCATGTTACCATATCCAGATAATTTTTAATTTTTTGTAGAGACAGGGTCTTGCACTATGTTTTTCAGGCTTCTTACAGAACTCTGAGTGTACAAACAAGGAGTATAAACATAGCAAGTACCTATTTGATATTAACAATATTCTTCAATACCAAAATTTTGATTATGATCTTTAAATAGACTTTGCGAGGTTTTTTTTGTTTTGTTTCTTTTTCATTCTTTTAAGTATACATTATCATTGAAGGATAGAAACAGTTTCTTTAAATACAAAGCTTCTTATATTCTATCTCAAATAATAGGAAATAATAAATAACTCTTACATATGTTATAAAACTCCTCTGTAGCATAAAACTGTAGCTAAAATTACCTTCCAAAAGTTACTGACAGCTAGGATTCCATATGACCTAGGTTCAGCCAATCAGATGTTCTAAACAAAGATTTATTTATTTTTTTTAGTCAGAGTCTCACTTTGTCACCCGTGGTAGAGTGCTGTGGCATCATAGCTCATAGCAACTTTAAACTCTTGGGGTCAAGTGATTCTCTTGCCTCAGCCTCCTAAGTAGCCAGGAGAATGAATAGGCACCTGCCCCAATGCCTGGCTATTTTTAAAGACTGGGTCTTGCTCTTGCTCAGGCTGATCTTGAACCCATATGCTCAGGCAATCCATCTGCCTCAGCCTCCTAGAGTGCTAGAATTACAGACATGAGCCACTATACCCAGCCTCTGAACAAAGATTTAAAAAGAAAAAATGGTCAACATGAGTTGGCAAGCAGAGCCAGGAACAGGATGTTAGTCGTGGGTTTTATTCATCTAAGGGAGTCAGACCCAAGGTGGTAGACATCGTTCTCTTCACAACAGAGGCAGCTTTGTAGCAGGCCTGTAGCAGTTCTGAGAGTTAATTCTACAAGTTCCGAATACAGCCTGCTCCTCTAGACCTCCCAATGGGTCTGAAAATTATCTTATTCTTTTTAGTAAGTCCCTTTCAGTTTAAACAAGCTAATTTAAATTCTGTAGTTTGAAACTAAGAATCCTGATCAATTAACCAAAAAATAAAAAACATTTCAATGAAAGTCAATAAACTCCTTTACCTATGTAAAGTTCAAACACATGTACAACTAAAAAACTAGCTTTTGACATCTTCACTAGAGTTTTACATCTGTTCTATTACATTTTTATTCATGAAAAGGTCACTAAAAGCAGATCTGAAATATTTTTTAATAAAACTAATTATGTAACAAATAATTTCTAAGAATTCCCTTATAGACTGATCAATTCCCATTAATCAAGACAGTCTTGATTCAACTCTCAAGGATTACTAATATTGAAACAAAAAGGAAGTCTGGGGTTAAAGCCTTTAGCCTTTAATTTAAATATACCAAATCACTGCAATTACTAAAAAGCAGAATTAGAAAATTTGTGGGAAATGAATGAGGAGAACAAGATTTTGCTTTTCATTAGTTAAATAAATGAATATAATAACTTTCTGAAAACTTAAACTATTATAAACCAAGAATCCCTCAGATCATCAAAGTACATTGTTAAACTCATTTGGATATAAAATAATTACTGAATCAAAATGAACTAAAACACTTTTAAAGAAGCCATAAATTCTTTGGTATGTCAGTCTGAACAAAATATTGAAAAGAATCAGGCTGAGGAGTCAATGTTAATATAGCTGTAATTGGTTTTATACACATTTATACATACGACAATATAATTTTCAACACATTAACCAGAGTTTATAAAACTGTATAATTATTCTAAAAATAATACAAATATCCACGTCAATACCACCTATGCTAAATTCTCACTTGAGGTAAAGGCCTAGATTTTTATTAACAATTTGAGCCGTGTGGCTCAATGTTATTTTAAAATTCATAGTATTTAGAAATTAAAAGAAAAAAATTTCTTTAATAATCTGACATTGCTGGCTATGTTGTTGGTGCATTCATGTATATTATCTTATTAATCTGTATGACTAGTCATCAAGATACAAAAAACTAACCTCATTTTTCTTAACACAGAGGAATGGTCAAAGGTACAGCTTACTTATGTAACCTGAACCAGGAAATTGAGGAAGTGGCAGAACCAAAGGTATATCTGGGTCTGCCTAACTTTTTAAATCCCGTATTTTATTATACCAGGTTCATTCTTTAAAGAAAAGTAACTTAATATTAGTTTCTTAATTATTTTTCATAAATATAAACTATTCTACCAAAGAAACATCTTACTTCCATCTAAAGTGAGTGTTAAGAATTATTGGGAGGAGTAGGATATAAACTTTTGTCTTTGAAGATGAGGTTGAGTATGATTTTGACTAATTATATATACATATGATAGGGACTAATAAAGAACATATAAAGAAAAATCATGTAAACACAGCTTCTGAACACTTTTTCTGTTGAGCTAAACTTTTTAGAAGGGTATGGACCTATTAAACTCGATCTGTTCAATGGCAAAGACAGACTGTCAAATGCAATTGTCGTTTTCATTTATCACAGGCCTTGTAATTAATTCATTAGCCTGCCAATCAGCTGCACTGCTAGTGAAATTTGTGAAAGTAGAATAAAATAGCTTACCGTGCACATGGAGGTCTTTGTGATATTCAGAGTAAAATCTGAAGAAAACTCCAAATCTGAGATAGACGCCTTATGGCAATCTATATGCTACCCATAAAAATGAAAGAAAGAGTTTAGTGAAAAAAAAAAAGAAAAAAAACACAGATAAATATTACTTCCTTTTATGTGAAAGGGATTATTGTAAACCAGTGTTTACAATGATAACTTTTATCATTCATATACCATTTTGGGGATTATTTCTAAATTTAAGGGGTATTAGTATCATTTTGTGGTTAATTTTTCTTTGTATCAAATTAGTTTTTTTACTTCTTGTAAACAACTGTATATATCAAATCATGTACAGTATATTTGATATATACAAGTACTGATATACAGTATTTTTTGGTGTTCCACATAAAATCATTTTGCATACCACCTATCACCTACCACATTTGCTCTAAATTATGTGCAATAACAATCAACAAATGTATAGGAAATGCCAACTTTAAAACACACACTAATGAAAAGAAAGAGGTGTTTTAAAAGTTATGTCCATAGCTGCATTTGAAGATACATCTGTTAGATATTAGGAAAACCATAACAATTCAAGCAAAACAGCATGAGTGACTATGAAGATTCAAGTTGGGGAAAAAAATAGCCAAATATCTTTCTTTTCCCATTTTGTCCTCATTCAAATCCTTCTCCATTTTAGTTTGAATAGAATCACCTTTCAATCACAGCAGTCTGACCAGAAGTGTGCTATCCATCCATCTACCCTCGAGGAGATAATGAGCCAGTGAACACAATTCATCTGACTACACACCATTAGTAATACCACTTACATGGTATTACTCCATTTAAAACAGCTTGAGAAATTTTTAAAAAATCTGTAAGAAAGTTGAGGAATAGAGAACTATATTTACTTAAATAAATGATATTTTAAAAGTATATTAAATACTTCATTTTTAGCCCTGTATTTTCTATTTCAACTGTTTATTCATACAGTTTCTGGCACTAAGTAAAGGATCACTAGAGAGAGAAATGAGCACTATTTCCAACTTTCCTCTTTCTGCTCAGTCTTATGCCCGAGTTGGCTATAACTGTATACTCCTACCTTGAGCCAAGGAGCACAGATACATCCCTTGCTATCACTGTACCAGAGCACTGAACAGTCCGATAATCATCAAGCAGAATGTGTTTTTTTCCTTAAAATCTAAGTACAATTTTAATTAGCTTGCTCTTGCTCAGAAACTTCAATTTATTATTCTATGCTAATTTTAAAATACTTTATCCACTTAAGAAAATTAATATTTACTAATTATGTATTTTTTTCAGAGAACAATCATCAATATTATAAAATAGTGTGACTAAAAAGAGGCAGCAATATCATGAACTTGACACTGAACAAACTATTGCACATTTGTTATGTAGTCAAAACAGACAAATGAAGTTTTTAAGAAAACCAATATGTTTTACTTCTAAGTTATTAACGAATCTGTGTAAATTAAAGATAGATTTACAATAAAATCACAGATTTATATGGTAAAAAAAAAGATAATAAAACACAAAAGGAATTAACTGAGAAATCCGAACATGGTAGGACTTTATTTTCATGGATAAATTTACTGTACTGTTCTTAATCTGAAAAGGGTGGAGGAAATTAGAATGAGAGATGTTTAAACCACGTGGAATATATGACATGAATGAATAATCTGGGTGTAAAAGAGCCAGGAAGAACAAGGCCAGAAAGTAGAGATACATCACTATGAACAATACAACAAGATTTTTTTACCTTAATAAAGCCAAAGTAAATGATTTAACCAGTTCAGAGTTAGATCTGAAGAATTATAAAACTGAGTAAAAAGAATTTTAATACATAGTGATCCGAAACGGATGATACAATCAACTGGCAAATATTATGACCTTGAATTGTTTATACTGATTAAAATTGGAAGAGTACTGTGAAGGCCCTATATAAAATCAGGATATTAATTTCAAACACTGTACTAAGAAAAATGGTAATGCTGTAATAAATGGTTATAGAAAAGTAAAACTGGCAAAACACCTACCTTAATACTACAAGGTTCTGAAACAAGGGTCTTTGGATCCAAAACTTCTACAACAGCTTCTGGAATAACTGCTTTCTTCATGCAGGACATGTTGAAGCCATAGACATCATCCCAGAAAGTAATTCTATCTGCGTGTTTATTCACATCACTCACTGCTACAAGGCTGATAGTGCAAATGTCAGGATAGACTAGGAAGCAATAAAATGCCCAACAATTAAGCACTGTCTCCCTTTATGGCAGAATATAATATTGAAAGGCCAAATATAAATACCAAATCCATCAGCGTGGGGCACTAGTGATGGGAGATTACCAAAGGTGCAGACCAAGGAAAACAACCATGTTCCACCTTGCAATCTCTTTCAAAAAAAGATACCCATTATCATTATCATTAAAATAAGAATCCCAATGCTGGGGCCCCTCTTAAAACAGGATTCTATAAGTACATAATATTGAAATGAGCATACTTATTAATATTAAAACTTAAAGTATGCCAACCTGAAAAAAGCCACTAGATCTTTACTTCATACATTCCTCTTACAAGGGTGTTCGACCTGCAGCTTGAATTTGCGAGGACTTTCTTTGCTCATCTGTGGTGTCAGGTATCATAAAAAGTACACAACCTATTTTTTCCTAATCAGTTTTCATTAGTGTTTGCATATTTAATGTGTGGCCCAATACAACTCTTCCAATGTGCAGCAGAGGAAAAAAAAGAAAAGTCTGGCATTCCTGCCCTAAAATGCTCAGAAAGAGATCAATCATTTAAAAACATACATAGCACGTAAAAAAGAATCATATAATGGACATCTACACTTGTGTAAAAGATGAGTTCATATTACTGTCTCTAATGTAAAAGAAGAGAAACTCATATTTAGACAATTTTGAGAAATAAATGCACAATTATTTGTGAGCTAATTAAATACTAAGAAAGCGAATGTACAAGGTATTACAGAAGCTCGCAGCAAAACCGCTAATTTAGACTTGTCTGGAGTACGAAAGCAGGGCTACTGTAAAATAAAAACTAAAACTCAAGTGAGTCAGGAGTGGGGAGGGGAAGAATATTCTAGGTAGAATGCACAGTGTGCATAAAGGCTTACGACAACTAGATGAGGAGGCCCATAAGCAACCTATTAGAGACAAACAGTAAGATATAAGGCTAGAAAGGTAAGTGGGGCCAAAGAATACATGGCTGGGTAAATCAAATTAGTAAGTTGGACTCCATTCCAAGAATAATGGTAATACACTGAAAAAGTTTACAAAGGGTAAGTAGCAACATAATTAGATTTTGAGTTAAAAAAAAAACAAAACCCTTTCTCTCTACAAACAGGTGAAGACTCTTGATTGTGTTTAAATTCCGGATTATACCAATTCTTCAGAGTAACTGATTTGTTTATTGAAATGCTAATCTAACCAAGAGGATCAACTATAAGGAAATATGTCAAGGTTCCTGAACCAGATTTAAGATGAGAAACACTATAGGAAAAAAAAAAAGACTTCTGGGTGGTGCCTGTGGCTCAGTGAGTAGGGCACCGCCCCATATACTGAGGGTGACAGGTTCAAACCCTGCCCCGGCTAAACTGCAACAAAAAACAACAGCCGGGCATTGTGGCGGGGGCCTGTAGTTCCAGCTACTTGGGAGTCTGAGGCAAGAGAATGGCCTAAGCCCAGGAGTTGGAGGTTGCTGTGAACTGTGACACCAATGCACTCTACCCAGGGCGATAAAGTGAGACTCTGTCTCTAAAAAGAAAGAAAAAAGAAAAAAAAGACTTCTGAAGCAACTTTACATTTGGTTAACTTCTCAATACATCCTTTTTAGGACTTCATATGACAATTACAGAAGCTTTCCCATATTATGCCCTATAATTTCCTAATTAAAGAGGAACACAATAAGGATTGTCAAGGGTCAGCAAGTATTTTTCTGTAGTTACTGTTTAGGTTTTGTGGCTTGTATGCTTTTTGTTGAAGCTGCTCCTTTTTTCCTGTTTTTAGTATGAAGTCAGCCCCAGACAATACGTAAACAAATGAGCAGGGCTGTACTCTAGTAAACTTAATCTGTAAATCAGGCGGGGGGGGGGGGGGGGGCCTGGATATAGATATCCCCGATATAAGTGGGGAGAAGTGGATAAGGGGGTTAGTTTCCAGGCCACCATATGCAACACCCTTGGGGAGTAACATTCACACTGTAGTTTATGGGAACCAAACATGCTCCACGGTTGTACAGTGCACAGACACTCAAATTACGTAACAGTTCATAAAGTTCTTTTTTCTAGAATATTAAAAAAAAGTCTAACTGGAGTTTTTAAATGCCATCAGTCTCTCTATCAAGGCTGCAAACTATGGCCCTTGGGTCAACTCCAGCCTGCAGCTGGTTTTCGTATCTGATGTTCACCTGGAGCACGGCCATCCTCATTTGCTCACAGATCGTCTATGGCTGTGCTGTGCTACAGTGGCAGACTTGAACAGTTGGGGTAGGAAACAGATGGCCTGTTACAGAAAAAGTTTGCTGATTTCTGGGTCTACAGCTAGCCAAATGACATATTAATAATACCACCAAGAAATAAAAGTAACTTTTTTCATAAAAGAGTACAAGTTACTGAAAATAATAAAACAGCCTTAAAACGCTATTGGTAATTAGAAGAAACAAACTAAAAAGCAATTATGATTTTTCCCAGGGTTGAAGTATATTTCTGAAGTTAATTATATTTCACAAAAATAGAGAAGATCATGGTTTTTGCATTGTTAGAATTTAGAAGTCAGGTTCTTTTTTCTTCCAGTTAGTAAGCTCTATTAATATTCATAAGGCTCTCTAGTCAGTGTTACAGGTCAGTTTGGTTCTGTATCCATCTCCTCACAGCTGGCTACAGTCTTGGACCACCTGCCAGAATCTGGGCTAACCCTTTACCTTCATATTCTGACACATTTGTCATTTGATTTTTGTCAGCTAGAAGCTATAATCGAATAATTATTCTTTCTTATAGGCGAAATTAATAATTCCTTCTCGTAGATGATTAGACAAAAGCACCCTCTTAACAGACCATTTATAAATTCATGGCTTTGACATCTGTGTCCTTCTCGATTCACTGCCCAGAATTCATTTGTCACTAGAATGGCTCACATGGTGAATAGACAAAGATGGGAAATCCTTTATCCCTTAGAAATGCCCCACAAACTTTTGTACACTTAGGGATAAGACTGAGATGCATAAAGAAACAATTCCTAGTACTAGTATCACTGTGTGTATACAAATAACCACAGAGTAAAAAGGTTTATAACAAAGGAGATAGTAAATAAGTCAAAATTAACTGCCGACAAACTTAAAAGAACCTAAACTGAAAATAAGTAGAAAACGATACTGCTTATTTTGCTCTGGGCAAAGGGCAAGCAAAACATTAAAAAGGAAATGAACAGGCAGAAATGAGGGAGGAATGAGTAAGATATATGAATGATTCAGTTTTCCATAGGGAGAGAGAAATAGCAAGAAAAGTACATTTGAAATACGGAATTTAGGCTCAGTGCCCATAGCACAGTGGTTACGGTGCCAGCCACATACACCAGGGGTGGTGGGTTTGAACCTGACCCGGGCCAGCTAAACAACAATGACAACTGCAACAAAAAATAGCTGGGCATTGTGGTGGGCGCCTGTAGTCCCAGCTACTTGGGAGACTGAGGCAAGAGAATTGCTTAAACCCAAGAGTTTCAGGTTGCTGTAAGCTGTGACGCCACAGCATTCTACCCAGGGCAACATAGTGAGACTCTGTGTCAAAAAAAAAGAGAAAGAATAAAATATGGAATTTATAACAGGAGCAATTTCTTACTAGTATAGATCAGGTTAAGGCCAATTCCAGTGCAGAATCTTGGAGAGAAGCAGAACTATCAGTATAGAGTATGTACCGGCCACTCTTACTTTCTTGCCTCTCTCTAAATTCTACAGAAGCTACAAATAACACTGACTTGGTTTTCCTCCTTCCCCTGCAAGTTAGGCCACACTTAAAATAATTCAGAAGAATTAAACTTAAAAGGATGGATAAAGACATCCAAACAAAATGAAAATAGCAGTCATGATATTGATACCAGACAAGGGGGACTTGGGGGCCACAATATTATATAATTAATTATGTTAATGGGCTTAAGGCTAAAGAGTAAGATTATATATCTACTTTCATAGATACTGAAAGTCAGTGATTTATTTCATGTGAGGTAAAGGTAGATTTAATATTTTCTACCACCCTTAACTGAAACACTGTTCTTTCTCATAAAATATTTGGCATCTCTTTTGAAAATTAATTGACCATATTCATGTGGGTCTATTTCATTTGATGTTTTTTGGAGACAGTGTCTTGCTCTGCTGCCCAGGCTGTAGTGCAGTGGCACAAGCAGAGCTCAATGAAGCCTTGAACACCTGGGCTCAGGCAATTTTCCTGCCTCAGCCTCCTGAGTAGCTGGGAATACAGGCACGTGCCATCATGCCCACCTGATTGTTTTTTGGAGACCAACCTGGTTTTAAACTCCTGGCCTCAAGTGATCCTCCCACTCTGGCCTCCCAAAGTCTTTAGCTTACAGGTATGACCCCCTATACCTGGTCTTTAAGTCTATCCTCTCACCCATATCAGACTGTGTTAATTACTGCAGCTTTATACTGATACCACATAAAAAAAAGAAAATCCTCCAACTTTTTTTTTTTGTAAATTCCTTTGGCAGTTTGGTTGTGTATGTGTGGCTTTTAAAATAAAGTTTTAGAATCTGACTATTTTTGCTTTTTAAAAATGAGCATAGAACTGTAATGGGATTAGATTGCATGAATATGACAATCTGGGAATTATCAGCATCTTACTACTAGTTTTTCAGCCCATGAACACAATATATACTTTCATTTTTAAGTCTTCGTTAATTCCTCCTTTGTAATTTTCAGTGTAGTTACATTGCTTTGTAATTTCCAGTGTAGAAATCTTGCATGTCTTCTGTTCAGTTTAATTCTAAGTAATGTAAAATTTGTCCTTCTTACAAATGAAATTTTTAAAAATTTTTCAGTTGGCTGCTGCTAGCATAAAAATAGTGTTTTTTGTTTATTAAACAATATCCTGTTTGTATCCTATGACCTTGCTAAGTTTTCTTGTTCCTTCTAGTAGTTATTCCTTATAATTTTCTATGTGAATAATCATGTCCGCACCATTATATAGACAGTGACACATAAATTGAACCTGAATTCATGTAAAAATAAACCGTGGTCCCATCATATTTACATGGGCCCTCAATACTCTCTCATAACACAATCATTCTTTCTAAAATCTTTATATTACTAATTGCTTAGTAAATCTTGCCTTCAGGAAAACATAAAGGAAAATTTTGGTTTGCAATAGAAGAATGAGGATCTAAATGTTTGGCGATATACATCAGAACAGACTCCACAAATAGGCTAAATTATTGCATGTTACTCTTTTCTAACTTTTCTCTTGATTCTGTTAATAGCACCGCTTAAGCAGTTAAATGTTGTTCCTCCAGTTACTTAAACACTCACATATAAAAATAGGGAAAGAACTAGACTCAGGAGCCTCCCCCTTATCACTGATGATGGGGAACAGCTCCATCATTGTTCACGATGCTGTAGGTTCTTAATGAATTTCACTCAGAATTCAATTTAAATGTATTAAGTTGCTGTCAGTTCTTCAGTAAGATCAATGAATACTATTCAAGGAAATAGGGAAATAGTTATTCCTCTTCTCCAGCTCTTCTGAGATAAGAATCTGATTTTTAAAACACCAACTTAGTAGGGCGGCGCCTGTGGCTCAGTGGGTAGGGTGCCGGCCCCATATAGGGTTCGAACCCAGCCCTGGCCAAACTGCAATGAAAAATAGCCTGGTGTTGTGGCAGGTGCCTGTAGTCCCAGCTACATGGGAAGCTGAGGCAGGAGAATCACCTAAGCCCAGGAGTTGGAGGTTGCTATGACCTGTGATGCCACGGCACTCTACCGAGAGTGATAAAGTGAGATTCTGTCTCAAAATAAATAAATAAATAAATAAAATACAAACAACCTTAGTAGAGAAATGAGGTTTGATGAAAAGAATATAAATACTAGAGTTGACAAAATTAAATCAAGTCTTGGCTACTTTAATATGCGTCATCCAGGACACCTTTATGAGATTGTTTCTAAAATCTCAAAGGGCTATAATAAGGAGTGCATCTAATAACACAGAGCTTATAATTTGGCAGCTAGCAGATAATCAACCATGGTAGACAATGGTTTTTAGTCATGTTGACTATCCCTTATCTGAAAACCCAAAACCATTCAGCTCCAAATTCTAAAACTTTTTAAGTACCAATATAAGCTCCAAGGAAATGCTCACTGGTGCATTTTGAATTTTCTATTTTCGGAGAGAGATGCTCAACTGGTAAATATAATATAAATATTATATTCCAAAATTTAAAAAAATCCAATCCAAAATGCTTCAGGTCCCAAGCATTTCAGACAAGGGATACACAACTGGTACTAGTCATTAAAAAAACAAAGCCACTGCAATTACAGAAAGATACAGCCATCTGTTGTAGGGTAACATATATCTGAAAATTCTGGCTGGGTTCATGGCAGATCAGGAACACTGCCTGGAAGGGCTGTAGAAAATTCAACAATAAAATGGGCACATTTTGAAAAAAAAGGCCATCCATTTGGATGCCATTATAAAAAGAACTCTATTTGTTCTGGAGAAATTTCTCTGCGCTTTGTGTGCCTTCTTGATTTTTAACTGAACCATAACTGCAAAAATAATTCCCTAGATGTGGGTGCGCAGGCGATGTAACCACTATAAAGGACTTTATGTTCCCAGTTTGAAATGTCTCCCTCTTTCTCTCTCCTTTTGTTTAACAGTTTCATCAACTGCCTTCTGACCATCAGAAATATTTTTTTGATCGTAAAGCTCTGAGAAAGGAAAGGATGCAAGGAGATAAGAATGAAAGAGGACACATACCATTCCACTCAGTTTTACTGATTCAATTTAATACACGTGTTACACACCATCTAGGCTCCAGAATTTATGAAGCTCCTTGAAGAGACAAAGTTAAACATAATCCCTGCTGTAAATGACAACATTTTATTTATATGTAATTGCTCATGGCAGGCCAGCACAAATACAAAGCCATTCTGAGTATGCAGAGTTAATATATGTTTCCCAGAAACATGAAAAAAAAAGCCTTCCAAATTTATTGGGATCCTTTTATACATTATTGGTTTCTAATAAGTTTTAAAAGTGCAACATAACCAAACAATCATTACTTTAAATGTTCTTATTAAATCGCAGAGAAGCCAAGTTTATATATTCAATGAAGTCATGGAAAGTTTGCCATTAAAGTGAATAATCTCAAACTTACTATGAAATATGTCCCAGGGGAAAAAAAGAGAACTAAATGACAGGAGGATTGAAAATGAAAAGGAGATTTTCATCTGAGTATCAAAAAGCTTCCAAAATCTAGTCCTTAGGTTTTATAAAAAGTGTTCCTGAGAATATCATTAACTTGGAGTCCTGGATATCTTATATAATGTTCTCTTTTCAACAATATAGTAAATAGATGTATTAAAACTTCTTCTAATGGAAACATCTTTCATCAATATTGAGAACTTTCTCAGCCATGCATAGTTTATTTGAAATCTAAAGGTTCACTTGGTTCTGCCAGACCAAAATTAGATTAAAGCTAGAATTTTATACTCACCCGATCCTCCTTTTGCCAAGTATTTGTTCTTTGCATAAAGGACAGAATCTAACATAGACTCAAAAAGAAGAAAATAGCCCTGCATTAAAAAGAAAAAAAGTGGATTTTAGGAATCTGCAATATTCTTATATGCAGGTCAATTTAGATATCTGGGCAACTCTTTTGTTAAAACATTGTATTTTTTTGTCTCTGTCATATATGCTGCAAAGTCTAAAATTATTTTTTTGTAGTAAGTTCTCCACATTAATAAGAACCAGAAAATCAAGCCAGGGTATAAAGTGGACCCATACATTTTTTTATTTATTACAATAGAATATTACATTCTTTACCTAAGCTACCACTTTCCAGAGTACTGTTTCTACCTAATTAAAAAAAAAATTCAGGCTTGGCACCTGTAGCTCAGCAGCTAGGGTGCCAGACACGTACAACAGGGCTGGTGGGTTCGAACCCCACCCAGGCCTGCCCAACAACAGTGACAACTACAACCAAAGGAAAAAAAAAATAGCCAGGTGTTGTGGCAGGCACCTGTAGTTCCAGCTACTTGGGAAGCTAAGGCAAGAGAATCGCTTGAGTCCCAGAGTTTGAGGTTGCTGTGAGCTGTGATGCCATAGCACTCTACTGAGGGCAACACAGTGAGACTCTGTCTCAAAAAAAAAAAATTCAGGTAGAAATTACTAACAAACCCTATAACTCCTTGTGATATTGCAATGTTAATCCAGAGAATGGCTGTCCACTAGATTTTGCCTCCTGGGGAACTTGTGGCAATGTCTGGAGACATTTTTGATGGTCACAGCTGGCGGGGGGAGTAGAGGGCTGCTTCTGGATCTACTGGGTAGAGACAAGAGATGTTGATAAATATTCTATGATGCACAGGATGGCCCCTCACAACAAGAACAGTGTCAGTAGGGCTAAGGTTGAGAAATTCTAGTCTAGAACACCAGTTCCCAAAGAATTTCCTACCCTGTGACCGACCTTTTGATAAAAAAAGGGGGGGGGGACCCTTAGTCAAAGAGGTTTGAGATGCCACATCCCCTTCTTAGAGCTTCATAATGTACATTGGCACACTAGAAGTTCTGAGCAGTTGTTATGGTAAAGAGCACTGCAGATCATACTTCACCAATTCTTAGGTGCTTTTTGACTACAGACCTTTCTTTTTCTATTTAACATCTATCAATGTCTTGCATAATTAGTGCTGCTTTAAATACAGGTCATGAAACACAATCCCAGTATACTCCAGATTCCAGAGTATAGGAACGAATCCTCTACAAAGAAAAGATAATGATATAAACAAATGAAAAGAGAATTTTCCACTATTGCTACCACAAATACTCTACATTTTAATAGCATGCTGCACAGTTTATTATATAAATGACAAAGTAATCATGACTGAGAAATCAATACCAATTTCAGTTTTTCTCCTAGGGCCCACCCCCATTGCCCCTAAGCAGCAGGAAAAAGTCAGTGCTTAGTACGTAACATGCCTATTATTGCTTAGGACTAACCAATACGAATTTTATCCTTATCTCAGCATTCTAAGTAAAACTGTTTTCATCCACTCATTTGTTCTGTGTACAAATTACTGTCCAATGGGATAAATATAGTATTGTTTAATGACATAAACAAAAAATACTTTAAAGGTTTCTCTAGAACAAGAAAAACCTGCAAAGACTGATGATCTTTACAAGAGATTAATAGCAAATTTAAACTTGTAGAAAATACAGCTCTCATGCTTGAATCACTCATAAAGGAATCTAATTAAATTGCTGCTAGCAGCTCTACATTGCCATTTACCTATTCCTGCCAATGCACTAATTCCTTGATAGAAAATAATTGCCTGCAAAACAAAGACTCAGTAATTAGGCTTATTAACGCATTACGTTAAGAGAATTAAGGATTTGGTGGAAACTTGTTTTTCTGGATAGAGACCTATAAGTTAGTTCCCTATTAACATGATCTATGTATTCAAGAACAAGAGACTTATGCAATTCAACCAAGAAATCTTTACCAATCTGACATAATTCAAACAGATCTATGCACACAAATACTTACAGTATAAATAGGCATTCATCTGGTTTTCAAAGTGAATTATACGTTATGCCAAGTAATTATTAAAAGAGGGAGCATCTATTTATCTTCTGGGAAAAAGACTGGCTGGTAAAACATGCTAATAGATGAGGTACCATTTGTAAGATCACTGCATTTTAAAGCATTAAAATAAATTTACATTTTAGTACATATTAAGTGTTCATTATAGTCCAATCCTTTTTTGGACAGGTGAAAAGAAAACATCTGTTCCTGGTTTGGTGCTATGTCAAACTGTCTTCTTGTATTACTCTTTGAACTCAACTGTCAAAAAGGACTTCTCTAATGTCCCCATATAAAATACCCTCTTCTTTTTCCCTCATCAAGTTCCATTTCTTCACTCAGATTCATATTTCACCTTAGCACTTATGAATTAAAATATTATGTAATTTTGTTTTCATTTTGGTCCTTACTAAAATATAGGGTCCAAGAGCAAGAACTTTGTCCATATTATTTTAAGCCATCAGTATGTTCTTAAGGACTTGAAATGTGCCTGGTACATAGTAGGAACTCAATTAATTTGTGAATGAGTAAATAAATTTATTAATACTATATATGCATAATCATATTGTTAAAATGAAACAGTGTTTGCTCTGGGGTTTTTTTTTTTTTTGGATGCTATTTAAAATCATTTATTTTTAAAAAGTTTAAAATTAAAACTACCAACAAGTAAGGGGTAGAGCAAGATGGTCAAAGAGAAACCTCTAGTGATTGCCCCTCCACAAAAACATCTAATTCAGCAAATAGCTATAAGCAAGTGCCTTCAGAAGAACCAAAAATCAAGTAAGTGATCATACTACTTGGTTTTAACATTATATCAAGGAAAGAGGAACTGAACAGGGCAGCAATCCCTCCCCCATCCCCTGGCAGTGCTGCTCCAGCACACCCAGTGAAGAGAAAATCTGTGTGCCTGGAGCGGCACCTGTGGCTCAGTGAGTAGGGCGAAGGTGGCAGGTTCAAACCCAGCCCCGGCCACCTGCAACAAAAAAATAGCCGGGCGTCGTGGCAGGTACCTGTAGTTTCAGCTACTCGGGAGGCTAAGGCAAGAGAATCGCCTAAGCCCAGGAGTTGGAGGTTGCTGTGAGCTGTGACACCACCACACTCTACTGAGGGCAATAAAGTGAGACTCTGTCTCTACAAAAAAAAAAAAAAAAAAAAAAAAAAAATCTGTGTGCCTGGGGGAGGGAGAGTGAAGCAATGTGGAGCTTTGCATTGAAACTCAGGGCCACCCTGGCACAGGGGAACTCAGCTCAGGGCATAATTCTGCCAGTGCCAATGGACAAAACATCCTGACCAGCCCCACAAGAGGGAACTCCTCTGCCCTCAAACCCAGTTCTGGATAGCCCCACCACCAGCAGAAAAAGAACAGCCTGTGGTCATAGGCAATGCCTGTGGCTGTGCTGACGTGGAGCCAGCAGACTTGGGACGCACATGAACCAGTGAGACACTGGGCCAAGACGGTGCCTGAGTCACTCCTCTCCCTTAGCTGTGCTGCTGCCTGTAGTCGGGAGAGTGTTTTTCCACTTGAGGAAATGAAAAGAGCTCAGAAGACTTTGTTTTACAAATTGGGTACCAGACAGCCACAGTAAGATAAAGTACCAGACTCCTGAGGCCCATGAGTCCAGGCCTTAGTTCCTGGACTGCATTTCTGGACCCACAAGGAAGGACTCAGTTCTGGCAGTATTCACTACCTGCTGACTAAACAGCCTTTGGGCTTGAATAAACATGAGAGGTAGCCAGGCAACAAGAGTCACTGCTGGCTTCAGGTGTGACCAGGGGCTGGTAGCCAGGAGGGAGTACCCATACCACTCTTCCCCCAACTCCAGTGGCCCAGCACAGAAAATAATGAAAGACAGACACTTTACCTGGTAACGCAGTGCCCAGAGACAAGACTAGGAGGGAGTGGAGAAGTTTAGGTCAGGTTTCTTGAAAGGGTCAGCAACCCACCTGGGCAGTGCAAAGATGGGATCTGCACCCAGGGGCGGTTAAGAGACCCTTTTTATATGGGGCTGTAGGGGGTGGGCAAATTCCACAGTTTGCCTGGAGGGCTTTGGTGAGTTAGGGTCCTTTGTGTCCTTTGTCTTGTATGTGGGTGGAAAGGGTTCACTGTAGGGTCGCATTAGCCTCCCACTACCAACCACTACCACCAGGAGCCTCTAAGAATCACAGCATTATTGGGGCTTGGAACACCCCTCAAAGCCAATAGAGTTGATCAGAAACTTAGACCACAACACTCTATTCCATATGAGTACCCAGAAAGCCTAAGGATGGGTCCACACAAGCCCAGACTGTGAAGATTAAAATAAATACCTAACTCGCCAATACCCAGACATCTATGAACATCCTCAAGCATCAAGAACATCCAGGAACATATGACCTCACTAAATGACCTAAATAAGGCACTAGTGACCAATCCTGGAGTGATGGGGACAGGTGACCTTTCAAAGAATTCAGACCAGCTGTCCTGAACTCCAAGAGAAGAAATTCAGAAGCCTATTAGAGAAATTTAACAAAGAAAATGATGTGAAAAAGTAACAAAAACCAAATTTTGGAATTTGTTAAGAATTCAACTGACAAAATGAGAAATGCATCAGAGTCGCTCAACAGCAGAAATGACCAAGTAAAAGAGAGAATTAGTGAACTTAAAGATATGATATTTGGAAACAGACGAAAGAAAAGAAGAATAAAGCATGCCTAGCCCGGGTGTGGTGGCTTATACCTGTAATCCTAGCACTCTGGGAGGCCGAGGTGGGTGGATTGCCTGAGCTCACAGGTTTGAGACCAGCCTGAGCAAGAGGGAGACCCTGTCTCTGAAACTAGCCAGGTGCTGTGGTGGGTGCCCAGTTACTTGGGAGGCCATGCCTGTTACAAGATCTAGGAAATAGTTTCAAAGTGGCAAGTTTAAGACATAATATCCTTAAAGAGGAGATAGAAAAAAATGTAAAGTTTATTTAAAAAAAAAAAAGATAATGTTTCAAACCTAGTGCGATTTCAATA